ATTATAAAATTTATTTCATAATTCTCTTTAAAAATATTCACATGGAAACTGCTCCCCCAAAATGAAATGTATCACACATATGAGTCCTTACAATGAACAGAGAAGGTATAAGAAAGTACCACTTTAGCACCAAGACACAGAAATCTTGTACAAAATGCAATTATATATGCATATATATAAACTTCTATGTATGTGTGTATGTGCCTGTGTGTGTATATATATATATACACACACACACGCACATATATATATATATATACGTATAAAGTTATAGGAAAGAATGGAAAACATCCAAGGACTAGAAACAAGGATGGAAATCAAAAAATCAAAGCCAGGGACAGCTGGGAGGTGGTGCTATACACAGAGGTATTCAGATTATTAGACCCACTTATGGGCCTAGTGGCCGAGCTGATTCCTAATGCCCAACAAGGATTGGAGACTAGCCTCTGGCCAGAGCAAGGCCTGAGCTCCCAACATGCAAAGACAGTACAAGAGGCTCCCTCCACTCCAAGGTGGTGAATGGAAAGAAGAACCACTGGAAAAAGGCAAAGTCATAAGCTTGCACCAACCCCAAGCCTGTATATTTTGTGAGTCTGAGTTCGGCCAAATTTAGAACAAACATGTGATGCTGTAATCCTAAAGCATGAAATTTATGTAAAAACTGCTCTAGGACCCACATAACCCCTGGGATCCCAGCAGATGCAGAAGCAAAGCAGTTCCTGGAGATACTTTCACACCCGGTACATTTGAGATTCCTGTCTAAGAATAACTCTCAGTGTCGATGAGCTCACAAAAAATTACAAACCACTTGAGCAATTAAACTGTTATGCTGGGGAATGAGGGAATCAGCCACCCAAGAAGAAATGGAAGACAAGAACGCAAAGGGCCAACATCCACCTAGTGACAGTTGGAGAAAGAGAAGGAGGAAGGGACAAAACAAAGAGATGGTGCCTTCTGCTTTTCTGGAGTTGAGCAAAGACTCTCCGTGGGAGGAAGCACATGGAGCCCTAAGCAGAGCATGTGCTATTTTTAAAGAAACACTGCAGGCGAGTTGCCTGGGCACGAGCCAGGTCAAATAAAGAGACTACAATACGTTTCCCTTAGCACTCCAGTTGGGTCAGTCATGCCTGCCTCCACTTAGGTACACCTCAAAGTTCAGAAATTGGAAAAGAAAAAGGAAGAAAAGCAAAAATGAGGCAATAAAATATGATATACAAAGGGCAATAGAATTATCACCTGCATAGGTCAGCATTAATGAAATTTAAATCTCTCATAAAAAAGTACAATGGGCTAAAATGCCATCCTACTATGCTCAATGCATCTCAAAATTTGCCAATGGAATACTGTTTTGTAATGTATTATTTTATCAACCTCCTGTATTTACCTAATTTACTAAAAAGCAAAGAAAAATATTTTAATTATAGGATGAAGACATAAGAGACTTCTAGTTTACAAAAAAAATTCTGTGAGTTTTTAACGGTACTAAGGTTAATGATATGCATTCTTTTATAGTACTTAATAATAACCTTAAATGAAATCGTCTTCATTTCTCTTGAGTCAATGTCTTACTAGCACTAGTTACATGATCTAATCATTTGAGCTATTGCATATTCCAAAGAATAAAACGCAAATAATAAAAGTTTTCTTGGGTGCTGTGCTGGTGGGAAGCATGGGTTTGCTATTAGGTCCTTGTTATTACTTGGCCCTGCTGAGTAATCACCCTGGCAAATTACAGCCTCTGGACTATTTCCTTCTATGTTAAGATTCCTAATGCCCAACAAGGTATTGGAGACATTGGAGATTTTCCACGATCCTCAGATCTGTAACTATCACCACAGGACGCTTGTGAAGACGTGGTGAAGTGGAATACTCAAAGTGCCTGGCATAAAAGAGGAGCCCCATCAGTGTAAACACAGCACTCTTTAAAGAGAGTGCTAGAAACCAGAGGTAAACGAGCAAATGTAAGAAGGAATTTATCTGGGAATAATTTATTGGTTGTTTACCTCAAATCTTTCTGGATTGTGGGTGGATTATAAATAGGGAGTCAAGACTCTTAAAGGAGGAGATAGAGGCAGAAACCATGGTTACAAAGACAGGCCAGTGTTCAGGAGAGCTTGGCCAAGCAGTGAGGATGGAAAATATAAACATTCCTTTACACTCAGAAGCCATCTGCAATCAAATGTCTGTACATCACCACACCTGTGAAATGCAACACAACCTCAATGACAACACAACCCGTAGAATTTCACATAAATAATTCAATGATTCATGTAGACATTCTCTATAAAAGCACGACTGTTACATAGCCATTGCCTTTTTAAGTTTGGTTGCTACTTAGGTCTTTGTTTCCAACACAATATGACTTTAGTTAAGTTTTTCATATTTAAAAAATTTCCTTTTTTGTCATTCAGGTGAGTTATTATATGTTATTTTTAGAAAAAAAGTCTAGGAACAAATAGTCTAGTTGGCAAAATATCATAAGCATATTTTTATAAATTAATACCTGGTTTGTGTTACCTTTCTAAACAGAATTTTCATTGTTTTATTATTAATTTAATTATGAATGTATAATTGTTATAATGGAGTGACTCAAGACTCTGTATGTGCAACAGCCAAGCCTACATGCTGAGAATCTAATGTGGGTGACCTCAGCCAGGGGTCCAAAACTCTCTGAGAACTGTTAGCCTCTTGAACTCAAGCCCAGATTTTCCAAGATCCTCAGATCTGTAACTATCACCAGATTTTCAAAGATGTCCATCACCTTCAAATAGTTAGGAAACATCACTTTACTATCTCCTTTTTCCTGTTGTCTTCTATTTCAGCACAAATATTTCCCTCTTATAAAAAGATACGTTAAAAAGACAAACTGTTATATGTAGTTACATTGTTTCCTAATTTAGAAGGTGTCATGTTCAAAAACTTATGTGCAAATATACTTCAAACAAGGGGTATCTATGTAGGTAACACTGTACCATTGATAACACATAACAGGTGTGTCTACTTCATATAAATTTAACTACAGAAAACATAATGAAATGGGCATTTTTTTAAAAATCACAAGGAACCTAAGTCCTTAGAAAATCAAATGTTTGGGTTATTATACCATAACTGGAAATGTCCATATAAATCACTTCCTAAAATACAATTCAAGAGGAATAAAATTAGCTTAACCTTTTTTGTTTAACTGTAACTGTGGTCATAGATACTTGCCCACTTTACCTACAGTAAAATAGGTGCTCTTGCAGGACATGACCTTAAGTATCAAATATCTAAATGAGAATCTCATAGATGTAAAAAATCCATACACCAAATAATGAAATGATGATGACTGAACTGTAATAGTGTATGTGTGTGTGTGTGTGTGTATATATGTGTATATATATATATACATAGAGATTAAAAAATATATATAATCTACTTTAAATATCTTCCAGCAACAGTAAAATGCTTCTTTAAAAACAAAATGAGCATTATCCTCATCTCTGAGAGGTGTTTTAATTGTTTAAAAAAGCAATTGTTAAACATGAAAGTTTCCTTATTTCTTTTACAGTCTGCTATGTAGTTCCAGTGACTTTAATTTACTAAACGTATTATTCATCACTGTATAGTTTTTTATTACAATTGTTCTCCAGGACACCTTATACACTCCTAAGCCCCCAAGTGTAAATGTACTGTATGCATAAATGATTTATGTGTAGTATCTACTCAATATTGTATTTAATGTCTGATTCAGCAAAAACAAACATTAAACATGAAAAGAACATAGGATTTAGGGAAGGTGAAATACTTGAAAACATCCTTAAAAGTTCATTATAGTTTTATACATGTGCAGTGGATACATATGCTAATCACTTTGTTTGGAAGCACATTTCCTCCAGAGGAAGTTTTAATACCAGAGACACTGAACCTTTTAGTAAAATATTCCATCACCAAAACCCAAGAGATTAATTTAAGTATGTTTTTTAGTAATATTGCGAGACCTACTTTTCAGAGTTTCTCAATCACCTGCTCAGATTAAAGAAAAAAAATCCCAAGAAGAGCCATACAAAAAAAAAGGTTTGCTTTTTTAAAAAATAAATGCAATTCCATTGCTTTACAAACAGGTTTACCTGCTTTAATGGACACCCGGAAGCATTAATGCAAAAATACTCTGCATATAATGAAGGGCTATTATTATAAATCTACTTGTACAACATTCAGTATCACTTGATGAATAGTGGTTTCACAGATAAAATATACGTGATTGTACCAGTATTTATAAACATCCCACTGTCCAGTCGTGATTTAAAAATCATCAACTTCCTAACTTTGATCTAACCAAGTGATAACATGCAAATACAAAAATACCAACCACAGGTGCTTCAGGAGACTAGCAGGTATAATGGGGCGGGGATCATCAAGTTATAATCCCGTTGAAGGTGATGAGCCACCTGGGATTTTAAGTAATCTTTGTTTCCCCTCTGAACTGCCCACGTCGGCCCTCCGCAACTCTGCACTGTCTCGGTGCAGGGACTCTGCTTACTAATGTCAAGGATAGACTCGTCAGCAGTCTAGGGCAATGTTTTGGCAAAAGCAATTTACAGAAAAAAAAGTCACTCTTATCTTCTCTCATTTCTACACACCCCCTTTCTCTCTCTCTCTCTCTCCCTCTCTCTCACACACAATGTACAACGGATTTCTGCCCTATGTCAGAGTGCACATCAGTTAGCAAAGTTTTTTGGGCAAACAAAGGCCAAACTACACTTCTCAATTACACCTCCCCGTCGTGCCAGAGCCCCCGCCGGCCGGCGGATGAGGAGGGCAACGCTGCCCGGGGCACAGAGGAGCGGAGGGAGCAGGCGGGGCTGGGGACCCCGCTTGGAAGGCGGCGGTGGGTCCTTGGGCCCAGGCTGGAGAGGGAGAGGGGCGCCCAGCAGCCGGCAGTTAGTCTGGGGGCATGCAAGAGGAGGAAACCTGGGGGGTCTGGGAGCGCAGAGGCGGTCCGCGGCTACCCTCTTTACCTGCTGTACGTCTCGGGGTCCGCGGGCGGGAAGGGCCACTGCGTTTCCCCTCATTGCAGGCGGGATGAGCCCCGTGTCTCCTCGGGCAGCGGGGTCCGGACTCCGTCCTCCTTCCTCCGCGACGACAGCGGCCGCTCTGCTCCTGGGAGGGGGCGCCGCTCCGCCGCCGGCGGGTGCCCACCGCCCCGCCTGGCCCCGGGCGCCGGGAAAGTGGGGGCACGACTGCTCCGTGGGGCTCGCCCCGAGCCGCGTCACGGCCACCCGGCGCTCGCCCCTCCCCACGCCCCGCCCCCGGATGCTCCGCGTCCGCCCCGTCCCCGGCCGTCCAGCCCCGCGCCCCCCGACT